ACCAGTGGCTGACTACAGGAAGCCCCTGCCCCGGGCTTCCTGGAATCAGCCACTGATCAGTTTCAGCAGCGGCTGAATCTGGACGCCAGTTCCGACTTGCATACAGATTCAACTTAAGAACAAACCTACAGTCCCTATCTTGTACGTAATCCGGGGACTGCCTGTAGTTTGCCTCTCTCTAGCAACATCACCTCTGCAGGCTTACAAAAGACCTTCCAATCTTGACCATCCCGGGCTTCCTGGAATCAGCCACTGATCAGTTTCAGCAGCGGCTGAATCTGGACGCCAGTTCCGACTTGCATACAGATTCAACTTAAGAACAAACCTACAGTCCCTATCTTGTACGTAATCCGGGGACTGCCTGTAGTTTGCCTCTCTCTAGCAACATCACCTCTGCAGGCTTACAAAAGACCTTCCAATCTTGACCATGATAATGCATTGACTCTTGTCCCCGTGGAATATGTATTAGCAAATCTGCTATCCTGCATTATCTGAACTGGATTTCTGCTTCTTCCTTTTGATATAGCTTCATTGCATTGCATAGCATAGCTTTAAATGGTTGTGAAACATAATTTCAGGCCCATATCATTTGCACCCCTCAAAGAATTTTGATTGGCTAAGCTTAGAGAGACTAATCTCACTACCGTAGTCTATCAACCTGAAAAATATCATGACCTAAATATTGGGTCCAATAATAAATGCTCCATTGTCCACAGGTGACAGTTGAATATAACATAATCATTGCATAGGCCAGTTTTACATGTCACAGAGCACAATAAGTTGGTATACAGATACAAAATATGATATGCAAAGTGATAGATGTAACATGTGATGTTCATCATTAGTACAAAGATGGATTCAGTATGCTGAATAACTTTTTACCTTCCATTTTACCAGGGAAGCAGATAAAAAGAGGAAAGCAGTACAAATAAGATGCACTTTATATGAGACATATAAATAAACCTGAAAGGTAATATAACAGCAATCTCAGTAGAAGGCCATATTCATATGATAACTGACCTGTATAGATGCAGTGGCAACCACTTTTCTCATAATATGGCTGCAAAGTGCTGTACATGTACTTCACTGGAATGTATTACCCATTTAAGAGAAGAAAGCATGCAGTGTAAACATAAATGTTCTCAAACCTTTTAATTAAGAAAATGAATCAAAACCAGAGAAAATGTACAGCAAATAAGATTTGCAAAGTTTGTTTTTTTTAAATGAGTGTAAGATCACTTATTTATTTTTCATCTCACTATGTTTCCATTTGCAGCCCACGTTTCCAGTAGGTCCAACAATAGGAACAAACACAGCTATAAGCTTTGCTCCTTACTTAACACCTGTAACCCCTGGAGTTGGGATAGTTCCGACTGAAATTCTACCCACGCCGCCTGTCATTGTTCCTGGAAGTCCGCCTGTGACAGTCCCTGGTTCGACTGCTACTCAGAAACTCTTGAGGACTGATAAACTGGAGGTACTACAGACACCATTGTGACTAGAAAGTAATTTTCTGCTGTTTAAGTAAGAGCATTGAAAAGCTTTGTCCTTAGACGCGCTCCCTAAAATAGCATAAATGTTAGTTATTACAAATATAGATCTCATAAATACTGTTGTAGGATTTACACTTGACCTCAATGAAAATGGTACCATTGTTTAGTGTCATTTTTATTTAATATGTTTTGATAAAATTCCAGGGAATGTGAGGATTCAACTTGATATCACATATATTATATCAAATCAATATTAAAAGTAACAAAAGACATTGAGTTTTTAAAAGACAGCTGTGTCTTTATGAATTTCTTCATCGAGAAAGTAACTGGGTCCACAAGAGCAGTTAATTGATGAATACTGAGCGTTATTTATAGCGGTTTTAGATAGATGAACAAGAATAGATTTTTTTTTAAATGACACTGTTCTATGTAAGTTCAACTCTTTATCAAACAACACAGCAACTTAATCAAAAGCAGGCAATGTGGTTAATGGATAGGTAAAGGACTATTGTAAACACTATGGGACAAGTCTAAAACTACAGAAAAAGAGTGGAGTATGTGGGGGTTTTTTGTTTCGCTTGTCCCAGGTAAGATTGCTGTGAGCCCATCCGCTGTAATTAGTGTTGTTTTGCACATAGGTATGCAGGGAGTTCCAGCGGGGAAACTGCGCGCGGGGAGAGACTGACTGCCGCTTTGCACACCCTGCAGATAGCACAATGATTGATACAAATGACAACACTGTTACCGTTTGTATGGATTACATAAAGGGGCGTTGCATGAGGGAGAAATGCAAATATTTTCACCCTCCTGCACACTTGCAGGCCAAAATCAAAGCTGCTCAACATCAAGCCAACCAGGCTGCAGTGGCAGCGCAAGCAGCTGCTGCAGCTGCGACAGTGATGGTAAGTGCAAGAATATATGGTTGCATTTTTTCATAAAATTTTCAGTTTCTGTTTTTTCTCTCACTAGTAGCGTTATTTAAAGTAGTATTTATTTTTACACCTTCAGAAAAGCTAGGAAATCTAAAAATGATTAGTTTTTTTGAGGGGAAAAATACTTTCTCTCCCTCACCTATTTTAGCATAGTAGGTCCCTCTCTTGAGAAAGTGGAGCAGTTAGACACTTTGTAGTTGTCTTTGCTCTCTGCTCCATGATGATATGCTAAATTTGCCTTCTAATATTTCTTGATGAGAAATAAAACTGGCAGAATTTAGTGGTCATTGGGAAGTATGTACATGTGCTATATTAACTCTCTGATGGCAGGAATATAATCTGAAAAATTAGGAAACAAGGAAGAATAGTTTTGTTTCCAAGACATGGCACAGATGAGAGATCTGGTCTCTCTGCTTACTACTGTAATATCCTGTGTAGGTCATTTTAAGTTGCCACCTGACTCAGTTTCTCATTTACAAAAATGGAAATAAGCTTAATTATTAAACTTTTTTCAGACATTTAGCTTTATATCTGTAAATGGCATAATAATGCCTATAAATAAATTAACAACACTATATCTAGTAAGATCAAAGGAAAGAGGTTAAAGATTCTGATTTGTTTTGAGAAACTTTATACTCCTACTGAAACATATTTAGAAATGCCTTTCCCTCTGTGTCCTTTTGCATCATGACTGATACTATTACTAGCAACAATTCCACATCAGTATTGAGAAAATTGAACAAATAAAGCATGCAGGGTCTTTTTGGGGACAGCGGTGCAATCAGCTCATAGATCAAAGCAGCCTTGTTCTAATTCCTAGCACTGAAAGAATAATTATACAGATGTGATAGTTGTAGATCGTGCATACAATAGATGTAGACAATACAGTTACTCTCATGTTAAGAAGCCTACCAAAAACACAATACAGTACAGTATATAACTATCATGGGGTATTGTATTTAGCAAATAGATAGAGACCAGACATTTAGGGGACAAAATGTGAATTTCTTTTAAATGAGACTACTGTAAAAGAATTTAAGGAAAAGAACAAAGGAGAACTTTTCATAATTCAGGATTTTCTCCTAAAGTATTTCCAGTCTCTATCTAAAATATTGGAATTTTAGCTAAAACCTTCCCTGTGCTCACAGAAGTCTGGAAAAAAAAGGATGAATATCTGAGTTTTATGCTTTAATAATTAGAGCAGGGAAAGGGACTGATTTTGGGGGAGAAGAGGAGAATCTGGAATGACCAGCAAACCAAAAAATCAGAAAAAAATGCTAGATTGTGTTTGAAAATTCAGTTCCCTTCTCTGAATCTGGGACAGAGAAAATATGCATCTACATCTTCCGTCTTCCAAGTAAACACCTTAATCACTAGGCTAGTCAAATTCACTAGCTCACTTTGTTCCACTGCAAATTTAAGTGTTTATGCAGAATGAAACCGCTTCAACAGGAGAAATAGAGAGGAACCCCTCCACACTAGTCTGTAGCCTAGTTGTTAAGGAACTTATTTGGCAAGGAAGAAGACTTGTGGAGAAGTCACTGCTCCAGAATGTTTCAGAGGGGTAGCTGAGTTAGTCTGCAGAGGATAAACTTAAAAAAACCACAAATAGTCTGGTAGCACTTTAAAGACTAACAAAACATATAGATAGTATCATGAGCTTTTGTGGGCACAGCCTAAGAAGTGGGCTCTTCCCACGAAAGCTCATGATACTATCTACATGCACCAGAATGGTGTTTGAAATGTTGGTCTCTCACTTCCTTTTCAACTTCTCTAAATATTGGACTGAAGCTTGTGAGTGACACAAGGATAAACATATGCTTTGTTTCTAAAACTGGCCATGAAAACTTTTTTCCAGCCAAAATTGAACCAAATCAAAGTCATGAATAGTTTCAGGTTGACTCAGATTGCACTTTTTGGAGAATAAACTAAAATAAATTGCATCCAAATCCATTAATAGTCTTTCAATCATGCAGAATTCATTACAGTTCTAGAAGATATTAAAACATAAGCAACGTTTTTTTTTCTGAGCCGAACTAGTTCTAAAGATGTATCTCCTTTTATTGAATAAACTCCATTGAAGATTCAGACCAAGAGTCTTTTGAAACAGTTTGAATTACTAGCATTCTACCACAACAGGAGAAGGCTAAAAGGCATATGATGGTATATTATTCCTGTGGGAAATTATATAGATGGCCTTTAATTGAATTTTTAAACTTTCCAAAGTTACAGTGCAGATGACAGAAGCTTTTTTACATCCAAATTACTTTTTATTTAATACAAATCTGGAACAAAGGGAAACCATGGACCAAAATAAATAAATGAGATCAATTCTTCATTGGGATAAATGGGGAGAGAGTATGGAGGGGGGCAGTGATTGCTAATACAGTATATTATACAGGAGAGGGGACCCCACAATGGTCAAGAATAATGGTAAAAATGCTGCCTGACCTAAGCAAACAAACGAAACCTCTGGTGAATCTCCTTTGGAATAAACAATCAGAGATCCTTAACCAACAGTTCCAACTTCAGTACGGGTCCTGAGCTGAAATTATGGTCTCTCAGCAGTCCGACCCTGATACACTGTACTTGGTAGGCAGGGATGTGGATCAGGAGGCTTGTGTATGTAAAACCTAGATTATGCAGGGATTTATAGACTAATTCTCAGAAAAAGGGTTAATTTACATGCTTCATAAATGTTTGAACAGTACATATTTTTGCTGTAGAACACGTTAACAGTCATCTTCACTGGTGCTAGAACTCTTTTACTTTTATAAAAGCACTGACTCATCTGTCTTTGGTTATGAATTTTGCTTATTCTAAAACAGCCTAAGATACTAGGTAATCAACACAGGATATAATTCCCCCAGCAGTTAGTCAAAAAATCCAAAATCAAGCGTTTCATGACTCTATTCGGTGGGTCACTGATGGAATGAGGAACGCTTTCTTTTCTATGTAAGCGATTGCCATACTTACTAAGGAAAGTTGGATGATAGCAAAGGGGAGGGAAGGTAATAATATTTTTAACTCCCTCAAAAACCAAAATACCACAAGAATGAGTAAACAAAGAAGTCTTGGGTAAACTGTGTGCCTGAAGAAGAGGAGTGAGAGTCTGGCTCCCACTATGGTAACTTTATGCTGCTGTAACCGCCACATACAGGAGCTGCTAAAGTCCCACAGCCAGCCCAAGGAGAATTCCCCTGGTCCAGGCCCCTGCATAGGACAGCTATCTCTAGACCTGTGTAGGCCCTTTTATGAGCCCCAAGACAGAAAGCATGTCTGGGATAAGAAGGAAGTCCCAGGAGCATACACTACTGCAAAGATTCTTTAAAGGTAGCTTTAGAGCTGCCATAAAATAGAGCTAAGGTGAGTTAGTCACCTTTTTCCCCCTCTCCCTCAGGCTGCTTCTTCAATGCTGTGCCTCCAGGAAAGAATCCCAGACAGATTAACAGGGTCAGTGAATTGTAGAGTTCAAGATACCTCAGGGTACAAGCGTATCTCTTGCCCCTGACATTTAAACCTAGTAACTTTTTTTTTTCAAATGCCTTAGCTGATTTCAGCTTTTAAGGTAAAAGCAAAGCAATGAGCAGTCTATGAAATAGCCAGACCCCAATCCTTTTATAGCTAAAAACAAGTATTTTGGTGGTATTGTGCTTTGTGGAATCAATTTGAAGACAGTGTGATATATTAATGTAATCATTACATTATTTATGGAGCACTAAAAGAGTGTTCAGGATAATAATAAACATGAAAGAAGACACTAAGGAACATAAAAGCTAAGTTAAATTAAATAGTCACCATACCTTAAACACACCTCATAATAGTATACATATACAAAGTATATAGAACCTTTATGCAGTTAGTTAATTATATTTTCATTTTTCTTTTTCCCTCTTCTCTTTCTGTTGCTCTCCAGTGGTTGATTATCACAGAAAGGCCTAATAGAAGAAATATATTTTATAGAGGGGGTTGGGTGATTAGAGAGAGGTTCCTTGGCGAACAAGGAACATCTGAGAAAACATTTGTTTAAAAATGTAGAGCTTTTTCTCAGTATAATATGATAAGTTAAAAAGGATAATCCAAGTTAGTGTTCTAGCTATAAAAAAATTAAACTAATCAATTGATTAGACATAATATTAATTTATTATATTAGAAATTGTTTTTATTTTGACTCCTAAAAATTCTATTGAAATGTACATTTTATTAACTAAGGCCCTGATCCTGCACACATACACGTGAGTAGTCCCTTTAAAGCATTAAAACTATCATTAATGCTTTATATTTTAAATGTTAGTGTTGAAAATGTATTGTATGCTTCTTAACTTGACATAACTAACATAATTATCAGAAATTATTGTAAGAAAATCCTGAAAACCTGTGTGTTTCTGTGAAGTGTTATATTATGCTTAGATGTCTGCAAGCTGCTGTTTTAATTAACTTTCCTAAATTTCAAACATCTATATTTTACTCTCTTATATGCTTTTAACTAAGGTATAGTAGATGCATTTTTGCTTCAGTACTAATTCAAGGTGTAATATTCATTTCTTTAGAAAACATTTTTGTTGTTGTGCATGCCTAGTGTTTTGTATGTTGTATACTGCATTCAGAATATTTTTTTCCTTCTCACCTATCCACAATGCAATGCCGTTCCCATGATGCACCTCTGCTTGCTGTTTACCTGTATGTTAATTCGCTTGAATCCCATTGGCCCACTGCCATCATGTGCTCGCTGCCTGTTATTAAAAGACTCAGTCGACTGCCAAAGCAATGAAGCGACCTCTCGAAGCAACTGTAGACCTGGTACTTTGACCTTTCACCTTTTGCTTTGCATGTAGCTTTTCAGAGAAGCAACTAATGAAATTTTTATTGCTTTTTTTAACATCAACTGAAAACTGTCATATACTATTAATTTACAGAAAAATCAGTATTATATTTATCCATCTCATTCTCATATGCAATAAATGCAAACAATTTAGTTTTTTTCCTAACATAATTTCATTTTAAAATACCTTTTCATACAAGTTAAAATTAGATATGACTGCTTTTGTAATTGAAAATATTATAATCCTTCATTGTAGTTAATAATAGGAAAAATATTTAACTAAGAAAGAATACTTGGTAATGAAACACAAGTGGTTTTTTCTTCCTAGAATATTTTAAGCCCAAATTTAAAGGAAATACCACTTTTGTTGCTTTAAAGGCATTCCTTTTCAGTAGTTGTGGTGCTACAGTTTTATGTTAATAGTGCCATGCTTTTGCGATCAACAACAAAATTTCACTCATTTTACATTGCTATAATTTGAGTTAAGGTGCATGGCAAAGCATCTTTAACTGCTTTTTTAAAAACTATATTACAAGATTTTATTTATGTGTGTGTGTGTATATATATATATATTAGAAAAGATGTATATATTTTGAAAAAATCTGTAAATGTAATTAAACTCTCTCTTTTTTACAGGCCTTTCCTCCTGGTGTTCTTCACCCATTACCAAAGAGACAAGCACTTGAAAAAAGTAATGGTGCCAGTGCCATTTTTAATCCCAGTGTCTTGCACTATCAACAGGCTCTTGCCAATGCACAGTTGCAACAACATGCAGCATTTATCCCAACAGGTATGTTGTATTTGCACTAAACAGAATTATAATTAAGCATTCGCCCCATAAGACAGTGCCTAGTGCATTGAATATATTTAACCCATTTCCTACAGATTTCAGACAGGTATGCACAAGTATTTTACTACATTATTTTAATTCCTTCAGTGGGATGATAGGATTTAGGAGGTAAGTTGACTTGTAATTATGTAACTTTTAGTATGTTCTGTTATAGCCGTTATTTTGCATATGTTGGAGTACTTTATATCTATATGTAATGGGTTGTATGTTGGGTCCATCTACCAGAGCTGTGATTGGTGGAGAGGTGGAATGTCATTTACTTGATGAAGAAGGCATAATGCTTTTGAATTCTAGGGGAAGTGTGAAAAGTGTTTGTAATGCCTGTCTCTGTTCCTCGGGTGTATTTTGTACTACTGTTCTGCAATGATAGACATGCTTGTGCTACATGTTGCCCTTTGGCTTCTAGAACTGCAGCACTAACAACAAAATTTTAGTTAATTCCTACACAGATGCACAATGAGGATAAAATACTCCCCACGTCTGCACATAACTTTTTTATGTGGAAAATGTGTTTCGTTGTCTTCATAATGGAATATTTTATAATCCAAAACTCTCCCCAGAATTTACAATTATTAACTGGTGTTTTGGTTTTTAATATAAGTGATTTAATTATGGTGGAATTTTAGTAAAATTAATATTACATTGGAGTTCAGTGCGGTAGAAAACTATATCTGGAAAAATCCATTACCCCATCAGGATTAACATCTTGAGCTCACACATGCAGTGTGACGACTTTCTTTTAACACTGTGAAAGAATGTTGAATATTCTACTTAAATGTGTGATTTAAGAATGAAGTGAACAGTTGCAATAAAATCCTCTGTGTTAGTCAAAAAGAGCTATTGAAAGAGTTTCTTAAAGAGTGCAGTGTCAGTATTAATATATATAGTAACCATGAATTTTTAGGCTGTTTTAAAACACTTTTCTGAAGTAATTTTTTTTGTTTTTAATATATTTACTTATCTTCTGTCATATTCTTTAACCGTCCAATAACATTAACAATTAAATAAGTGAAAGAATTCAAGATGCTGCCATTTCTTATTATATACTTTTACAAGAATCTTTTTAAAAAACCAAAAATCACACGGACTTAATGGAAGTTTGCCTGAAAAAGAAGCATGTTAAAACTTAGTTAAGATCTTAGAATTTGGCCCTATATTTGTAAAAATATGTTCTAATGATTTATTTTTTGCACTGGTTTTACATATGGACTCACTTTAATTTTAATTTCCAGTGAGATCCCATGACCATTTTGTAACTTGCTACTAAAATGGAAATGTGCATCTGTGGGAAGGTTTGAAGGAATTTGAGAAATGGGTGGAAGCACATCTGATGCTTACAAATGTTGAAGAGTCCCCTGCAAATGTACTTCACATCACAGGCATAAAACCTTGGGGTGCAATGTGCATTGTTCCTCCTCTTAGGGACTGCCTTTCAGAGCTTATCAGCATAGTATATAATTACTGTAAAAATACATTAAAATAAACCTGAAAAATAAGCTAGTTTGAAAATATTTCAGTTAGACAGCATTCAGATATTTTCCAAACTTAGAATGCTTGTACTTTGTTCCATGTGCCGTTTCTCTTCAATTCACATTTTTGGTTCTCTTCAATTCGCATTTTTGGTTAACACTGGACTCATTATAACCACCAGTACAAATTAGCTCAGAATTGAGAGAGAGTTTGTTTATTATAAATTCAAGATGTAAAAGGATGTGGGCCTTCTTGCCAGACTCTTGCAAGGCTAGATTGTCATCCAGTCCTAGCACTGGTGCACAACAAAGGGAAGAGGTACAAAAAGCTCCTCATCTCCAGGAGATCCAGCACATGAGCCAGGGCAGAATGGAAGACATTCCTCGTAGTGAGCCTGAGAAATCGTCAGGTCTGGTATCCTTAGTGTCTGTAAAGAAGGGTGCAGGATGGAGATGTAAGAGATGGCACACACCCTTCCCATTGGCCAGTATAATGAGCCTTTCATTAGAAAACAGTGCATGCTGCTTCTATAGTAGTTGCACTTCTCAGGGAGTGTGGGAGGAACTATGTCTTCTGGAACTTGGCTTCAAATACATCCACTCCTTCCCACTATGGGATTGTAGCTGTAAATAAAGCACACCCTATGAAGAACTGTTCATGAAATCAATCCTTTGGTTTAAATTGGTAAATCAGTATTTCCTGGTATCAATTTTAAATATGTCCGACGTGTTCAGTAGAACTGTTACAGCTAGAGCAAGGGTTTGTTTATGAAGTATATGGAAAACTGATAAGTTGTTTTATGTAATTTTCTGACTTTTCTAACCACTGACTCACTAATTAAAGGTTTGGGGCTTGATAGCACTGCTTATCTTCGGATTTTTTTTCCCCCACTGTCATTCTCTTTTAATACAAAGCACACACTAAGTCAGTATGACTGCTTCATCTGCACGTTTTATTGTTTGGTGAATGATTATTCATGATCAGAAAAGCAAGAGGGCAGTGTTTTTCTTCAAATGCTGTTTGTTAGAACTTTTAAGACCAGTGCAAGAGGGGAAAGTGTGTGGGGATTATTCTTCATGATAAGGTCATTCATAGTTACTTTACGCATTTAACAGCAAACAGCAAAATACCTAAAAGGTTGTTAACATCACTAAACAGGAGTTCTGCAAACTTAATCTATTTTGTGTGCTGAATGTGCAGCATTGTGTACATGCCCCTTTGTTCCTCTTCCTCTCTGCCTTCCACTTTCTCCCCATCATACATTGTATTCACCATCCTAAAAAGCCATATCCTTGTTCATTTACTTTAGCAGAAAGGATAATGGTTGAATGAGTACAAAAACTGAACTTAGCCGTATAGAGGCCTTCCTCCACCCTGCATAATTCTGAGGCACATTGGAAAGACATTTTGTGGACACTTGTAAAGTCACTAGCCATGCTGAAGTGGTTCCATTTCCAGGGCTACCATTTTAGCATTTTTGTAGATAAAATTCACATTAGTAAATTGTCATTAAAAAGTGTATGTTAAATAGATTTAGCAAAATATCCTCCGAATAATAAGAGAATTTCTATTTAATTAAATGCTTTTCTCTGCTGTGTATGAGCAAAATTAATAAATATGAATCTGTGTAGTTAACATAATACTGTCTGAATTGTTCAGTGGATTTAAGCAGCCCATAGATAATCCAATATTCAATCAAGATTTCTTTTAAAATATGTTATTTAAAAAATAATAAATGAAAGATATTTATGAAATCTGGTCCATCTTAAGTACACATACAGCTGTACAAAATATGTTTTGGTGTAATGTAATACTATTTTAATATCAAATTATTTAAAGTCACTCTTGTAACACAAAAACTATGAATGACCTTAAGATTGTGTTCAGCTAACTTTTACTTACCCTTGGTTATGCTTGAATCTCATTTTGAATGTTAACTCTAAACAGCTAACCTGTTTCTTCCCTTTATTCACTTTTTCCACCTATCATTGCATGACATGCAGGGTCAGTTTTGTGCATGACACCCGCTACCAGTATTGGTAGGTTTCAAATTTCTTTATTGATCTTTTATATTGTATACTATACCGTCAATTGTTTGGAAGATATTAAACATGACTCGATTACTAGATGTAATGGTTCATTTGGCTTTTTGATTGATTTTGTAGGAGCTTAGATTTATTTGTAGATTAAAATTCAGTTTAGATATGACATCACCTGCTATAACAACCACACTGCAAATGCATAAAATCATGGATTCCAATCTGCTTTTCAGTTTCCAAAATTGTGTTTCTATCAATATATTTTATATTTTCTAATATTTTTAAATCATAAAATATTGGTAAAACAGGCTAATTCCATCAGTGTTTTGAAGTTTCATAGTCGTGTGCCTATTTCTCCTTTTTGCTGTGTGTTAGAAAGTTTTATCAGAGTTTCCCAGAAGCATGTATTTTAATACTTGTAACTGAAAGTACTTGAGACCTAAAGTCTGAATCACATTCCTTTTTAATTAAATTAAATCCACTTTAAAATTTGCAGCATTTGAATGCACATCTTTTATGGTTGCGAATTTAGCAACAGACACTTACTCCTATGAGTACAGGCAGTCCCCGGGTTACGTACAAGATAGGGACTGTAGGTTTGTTCTTAAGTTGAATTTGTATGTAAGTCGGAACGGGTACATATTGTAGGGGAAACTCCAGCCAACCATTTCTCCAGAGCTTTATTCTCCCACACCTCACTTCCCTCAGTCCTTTATTCTCAAGCTGAGGTGTCTGCTGAGAAAAGCCGCTCCGCGTCTCCCTGGTCTGCTGGGGGGAAGCAGCTAGTGCGGGGTTGCCTCACCCCGTTTGTAAGTAGGGATCCGATGTAAGTCGGATCCATGTAACCCGGGGACTGCCTGTAATTGATTTATTTTAATGGGGCTACTTACTTGACTTTCAGCAAATCACGTGAGTGAATTTTGCACATGCTCATAAATTCATCCGTATATTAAAACTGAACAAAAATAAATGTTCACAATCTAATTTGCTCTTTTAGATCAAACAAATTAGTATTTTTATCAGGAAAATAATTATAACACTGATGATATTCTCCTCAAAGCAGATGGTAATTTATCTCAAATAAAATGTAACGGTTGTACAGAGCTGGTAGCACATAAGTCCAGAAACCAAAATATAAAATTATGTATGTTTAAAGCAAGATTGCAAATATACCTTTAACCTCTAATACTGGTAAATGAAAATAAATTATGTTTAATATATATCAAAATAATAGTTTCTTTCCTTTCCAATACTAAAAATGAAAGATTTTCCTTTAAGAATAGATTGTTAATATATTTTAGTTACTTAAAAACTGATTTTACAATTCTCCCTTGAAGTGATAAGCTATTTTAAAAGTAAATGCCCAATTTAAAATAATTTGCCAAATTCTTAAATATAATGTCAGCAATTACAAGTTATTTTGCTTTTTCTGGGAATCACTGATTATGTTGACAAACTTCCTTTAATTGTACTTGTAATAAGCTTTTTTCCCTTTTTTTATTTCTCTGCCACGCTTTCTTGCTTTGCATTGTGATTGCATGCCATCTGCTGGTTTAACCCATGATGGCTTGCTGCTCTGATATTCACCATGCCAAAATACCACTTCTATTACCATAATGCTACACCCTCCTGTTCATTGCTTCCATGGTTCCCCTCCTGAAAGTACCCATGATGCACAGCGCTACGTCCGCCACTGTCTCTGCAGCAGCAACTCCTGCAACAAGTGTCCCCTTCGCCGCAACAGCCACAGCCAATCAGGTTTGCTCCTTTTAAAGCTTTCTTTCACAAATCCCAAACTCTAAATGAGTGCTGATATTTTTTTAAAAAAAAAATTCTCATGGAGAATTTTTTTTCATGTTTACCCATCAAATTTTATTTTTAAATGGTTTATAGCAAGTGTTTATGGACAGGTTGCACTTATTTAGAGTTAACATTTATTGCAAATAATGATGTAGCTATGTTTTGTGTTGCAGTGTTTGTTTCTTGTATCTAATATTGTGTAATTAACCTGGCTGAGAGAATAATTTTAGTAGTTTTCTTGTTAAGATTTACAACTAACTTTGGATGCCAAAAGGAAAACCATATTACAGCAGTGTTAAAATGTTCATGTTTGTTAATATCATTTTCTCCATACAGTGTGTTTAAATGACTAGCTCTTTGTGGTTGTGAAAGCTAATGAAAACCACAAGTGGGCAAAGTCAGCTGAAGAGACATTGATGAAAGTAAAAAGTAAACATTTTCTAGAAAATGCCAGTAACATAAGAAATAACTCTCATTTGCATTCTGTATATTTACATAGGAAGTTGGACTTCTCTGTCCACTCTAGATTTAAAGGGACACTGTGCCAACTTGAAAATTACATTGCCTTCTGAAAATATTATATCTACTGTTGGTACAAGTATCCCCTAACATGAAAGAGATCAGCGGAAGTACTATTTTTCTTTTTTTTTCGGTTTGCTTATGTAACCTACTGGTCACTTTGTATTACCTTTCTCCTCTGTTCCCAATCTCCTAAGGATATGAGTCTGTTGCAATTTTTCATATAAAACCTGGGCTCTGTAGAGATTCTCACTTTTGCTTTTTGGAGGTCCCCAGTTCAGTCCTTTGTGTGCCAGTTATCACACCACTTTGTGTTTGGTCACTTTTGCTATTTTATTTCTATCCGGTGCATCACTGTCATGCACGGCTCAGTGTGAGCTCTTTCCCCGGTGTGCAAAAGGGTGTTTACGAGCAACAGCAGCAGTAAGATGGAACTGAAGAGCTGGTAGGCAGATTTACTCACAAAGAGAAGGGGAAGAACCTATGGCCTTCAGCACACTTGCTTCCAGCCCCCTTTCAGACCTAACAGAGGAGCAGCAACACATGCAAAGAATTTTTTTAAGGATTTTTTAAAAATATTAAAAATATTTAAAGATGTTCTACCAGAAAACTGGATTTTCAAAACTGATTCAATTTCAAAACAAATCAAGTTTGGTAACACCCCTTGAAGCAATAGAAAAGTCAGCATTACTGCTTACTTATAATATTCTAGGGAAAAAATACTACCTCTGAAATACAGTGCTTTCTTCAAGAAATACTAACAAACATATACCTTGGTTTTAGGAGGGTTTACATTTTTCAGTGTGATAGTGTATGCATGGCTTTATCATTTTTTTTCTACACGCTATTCTTTTGTTCTTCCCTTTCTGATAGCTAATTCATTTTAATAAGGGGAAATGTTGAAGGATATTTGAGAATAGAATACAAATGTTACAAGTAACTGGAGTACTTAAAATTTAGCTATTTTCTATTCTTCTCATTTTTGTATCAAAGGTATGGTAAGGTAATGAATAATACTATAGTACTTCCCTAAAGAGTAGGATGATGATCCCGTAGATTTGCTGAATTTCAGATTCTCAGGATATGTAGTTAATAATGCAGATAACAGTCTTCACAACAGTAATTGGTTTCAAAAGTGCTTAATGAACTCTTGGGAAATGTTGAGGTCAAAAACAGGAGTCACAAACAAGTGGAAATACAGACGACAAGGGAATTAAATTACGTAGAAAAAGGGTATGTCTACACTGCAGTTGGAATCTGGCTTCCTGCTCTCGGTAGATGGACACATGTAGCTCTGTGTGACTTAGCTTAGTAAAAACAGAAGTGTAGCTGGGGTAGCATTAGGATGGCTGGGGCAGGCTGCCTGAGTATGTGCTCAGAGGAACCGGGCTGTATTCAGATGACTAACCAAAGCTGCTGCCTATGCTATCCCAGTTACGCTGCACTTTTTAATGTGTAGGACAAGCAGAGCTAGCATGTCTGCCTGCCTGCTCTGGGAAGGATGCTCTGAGCTGCAAAGTAGACTCAGCCAAAGATTCCAGTCAGCAGTAATATTTTCCACATGGATTTCTGTAGAGGCTTCTTCCACCTGAGACAGAGCTATCATATCTCTGCTCTTTTTTCCCACCAGCCAAACAGCAGGTATTTGTCTCCCTGCAAGAGGATACCCTAGTTCCCCCTGGATTAGACAACGTTAGTTTTCTTTTCCACTTATATTGGAAGACAGGAACACTTAAATTTGATTAATCTTTAGTTAACCAATAAAATCAATAGGAACTGCTAGGCGTTTCTTCCTCTTGATTATCAGTGGAGCCATTGTTTTCCCCAGTAAGCTTTTTGCTTCCTCCTTAGCATTAGTCGTTGGAAAGCTGTTGTAACAGATTGCTAGCTATAGGTACTTTAACCCAGATGTAGTGAGATGCCAGACTTGATTCTGAAGAGGAAGTCATAGCAGTCCTTAATCATCTGGGTTAATATTTTGAACTCTTAGAAAAACTGTGCTGACCTGCTCTGAACTGAGTATGGCAATCCAGGAATACTGGATTGCTACAGCCACTGAGTATCAGCTGACGGTTTTTTGAAAATCCTGAGTCAGGCACAGAAATTGAATTACCATGTGCTGATGGTTCATATTTTGTGCCAACATACTGAATGAAAATCCTGCATGAATCCTGTCTACTGTCCAATTGGGTGCTTTTGAAAATAACATGAGTAAATGGGACCCAAAACATAGATTACACAAACCCTTCTGTGCTATTCACCATACACAGTCATTCAACCTGTGCACTAAAACAGGCCTGTGGAGAAAATAGCATGTGATCACATAATTGCAGGCAGGGAGTCTGGCCCCCTGACTGGAACCAGTGTTCTAAGGGCTTCTCTGCTCCCTGATGGAGGACTCCCTGGGCTGGCTCCGGAATGGAGGGTAGCTGGTTACTTTGTTTTCCTTTGGGGAAAATTGAATGAAAATGTTCAGAATTTTAAAACATTTTGGGGATTTCCATGGGAAATTTCTCAGTTTTGTTCAGACTTAGAAGGGAACATAAGAATGTCCATACTAGGTCAGACCATGGGTCCATCCAGCACAGTAGCCTGTCTGCTGACAGAGGCCAATGCCGGCTATCCCAGAGGGAGTGAATCAAAAAGGTAACGATCAAGCAATCTCCCTCCTGCCATCCATCTCTACCCTCTGACAAACAGAGGCGAGGGACACCATTCCTTACCCATACTGACTAATAGCCATTAATGGACTTAACCTCCATGAATTTATCTAGTTTTCTTTTAAACCTTGTTATAGTCCTAGCCTTCACAACCTCCTCAGGCAAGGAGTTCCACAGATTGACTATGTGCTGGGTGAAGAAGAACTTCCTTCTGATTGTTTTAAACCTGCTGCCCATTAGTTTCATTTGGTGGCCCCTAGTTCTTATATTATGGGAACAAGTAAATAACTTTTCCTTATTCACTTTCTCCACACCGCTCATGATTTTATAGACCTCTATCATATCCCCTCTTAGTCTCCTCTTTTCTAAGCTGAAAAGTGCTTGTCTCTTTAATCTCTCCTCCTTAATGATTCCTAACATCCTGTTTGCTTTTTTGACTGCCGCTACACACTGCGTGGACGACTTCAGAGAACTATCCACGATGACTCCAAGATCTCTTTCCTGATAAGTTGTAGCTAACCTAGCCCCTATCATATTATATGTATAGTTGGGGTTATTTTTTCAAATATGTATTACTTTACATTTATCCACATTCAATTTTATTTTCCATTTTGTTGACCAATCACTTAGCTTTGTGAGATCTTTTTGAAGTTCTTCACAGTCTGCTTTGGTCTTAACTACCTTGACCATTTTAGTATCATCTGCAAACTTTGCAACCTCACTGTTTACCCCTTTCTCCAGATCATTTATGAATAAGTTGAATAGGATTGGTCCTAGGACTGACCCTTGGGGGACACCACTAATTACCCCTCTGCATTCTGACAATTTACCATTTATTCCTACCCTTTGTTTCCTGTCTTTTAATCAGTTCTTCCCTCTTATCCCATGACAACTTAATTTACGTAAGAGCCTTTGGTGAGGGACCTAGTCAAAGGCTTTCTGGAAATCGAAGCACACTATATCTGTTGGATCCCCCTTGTCCACATGTTTGTTGACCCCTTCAAAGAACTCTAACAGATTAGTAAGACAGGATTTTCCTTTACAGAAACCATGTTGACTTTTGCCCAACAAATTATGTTCTTCTATGTGTTTGACAATTTTATTTTTTTACTATTATTTCAACTAATTTACCCGGTACTAACGTTAGACTTATGGGTCTGTAATTGCCGGGATCGCCTCTAGAGCCCTTTTTTAAATATTGGCGTTACATTAGCTATCTTTCAGTCATTGGGTACAGAAGCTGATTTAAAGGCTAGGTAACAAACCATAGTTAGTAGTTCCGCAATTTCACATTTGAGTTCTTTCAGAACTCTTGGGTGAATGCCATCCGGTCCCAGTGACTTGTTACTGTTAAGTTTATCAATTAATTCCAAAACCTCCTCTAATGACACTTCAGTCTGTGACAAATCCTCAGATTTGTCACCTACAAAGGACGGGTCAGGTTTGGGAATCTCTCTAACATCCTCATCCATGAAGACTGAAGCAAAGAATTCATTTAGTTTCTCCACAATGATTTTGTTGTCTTTAAGTGCTCCTTTTGTATCTCGATCATCCAGGGGCCCCACTGGTTGTTTAGCAGGTTTCCTGCTTCTGATGTACTTAAAAAACATTTTGTTGTTTAATTTTTTGGAATGTCAGAATTTTCCATGGAGTGAAAATTTCAAGATTTGACCAGCCCTAATTAGGAGCCTTCAAATGGAACATAACCCCTAAGTTTGTTTTCACTTTGGCTATGTCTACACTGCAGAGTTTTTGTGCAAAACCTCACGGAGCATCCAC